GGTCTAATAAACGAGATAAACATAAATTTCCAGCTAAACCTTCTAATGAAAAATGCATAAATAAATTTATGGGAGTAAACAAACGCGTCGGTCTTCAATTTCGTCATTGCCCCCATTGAAGAAAATAGTGTCTTGGATTAAAGTTGTAGTAGCTAACTTAGGTGTATCTATACATCCGTAATCTATAATTTATTATGTAAAACTGACTTTTGAGTATTTATTGTGGTGTTACTAACGCAAGCAAAAATCAGTTCAAAATAATTTAGACTAGTCAAACCGACCAAAGTTTAAATATGATATATATAGGAACATGTAAATGATATTGCGTACGAACATGTGAATGTGGTAGATAAAATCAATCAAGAATTGTGTATTAGAACTTGTGCTTTTTCAGTGGGACCCAATGTAGGTCTCACGTATTCTTAAAATGTGATTACTTTAGTCTATTAGATTAAGGGTGTGTTTGATAACCACATTAAATGTTGAAATGTCATTAAGTACGTTTGATACCCACTGTGTGCACACAACTTAATTGATTGGTTTAAGTAAAATATCACCTATTGTGGTAAGTACAAATGACTTACTATTGGTTTAGTAATAAAATATACAAGGGATAAGTGCATCATAAGTCCTAAAACTTGTCACGAAAGTACAATAGAGTCTTAAATCTTCAAAAAGCGCAATTTAGTCCTAAAACTGTCGCGAAAGTGCAATTAAGTCTTAAAACTTTCAAATAGTGCAATCAAGTTCTAAAAATTGTCAAACTGGTACAATTAAGTCCTTCCGTTGATTGTACTGTTGATTTCACTATTTGAAAGTTTTAGGACTCGATTGCACTTTACTGACAAGTTTTTGGACTTGATTGCATTTTTTAAAAGTTATAGGACTCAATTGCATTTTCGTGATAATTTTAGGATTACATGTTCCTATAGTGAATTTATGAAAGTCAAACAAATGAAATTATTTCGAAATCTAAGAAATTCAATTTGATAAAGAATGCTGACCTATACATATGGACCTTTTGATTAATACTAAGTTGGTTGGGCCCGACCTTGATCCTAGGCATCTTGGTCCTTACAAATTTTGTTAAATAGTGTTGTGAGAAACAAGAGATCAAACAATAAAATAACAAAATAAAGAAATAAATCAGACACAAGAATTCATTCAAACACTATGTTTTTCGGCCTCCAATTACATCAATAACTCACAGGATGCTTATCTTTATAATTTCTCATGAAATAATCTCTCAATCTCACAAAGAAATTAAAATAATTTTACCTTAAGATTTATTGGCTTGAACACTCTTGAATTTCACGGGATGTAATTTGACGAAGAAGCTCCCGCCTTGGATTACGGGCAAAAATGGCTTATGGCCACAACACTTGTACACCAAGTTGATATGAAGTCAATACATAGGAAATATCCAACTTGGACTATATTGAACAGGAAATATGATTTGCATGGCGCACAATCACGTCCCCAAACCTTCAACTTCCGGACTTTCCTTTAATCGACTGGGCTTCCCAATGATTCATCTAGGCTGAGTTTTGTTCGGAGGTTTAAACTCGAGACCTAATTTAATAGTTAGATTAATGGTAAGAATTTATTATCATTCCTTTGTCTTTTTCGTTGACGGCACTGAATTGATGGTGCGAGCTTCGCGAGTTTAGGACATTGTTTCTGCTGGGATTGTGGGCATGTAGCGGGTAGCTTGCCTCGCTCAATGTTCCAAAATAAGACTAATCTATCTATTTAATAAAAAAGATCGTTTTGAATTTTTGTTTATAACTTATCCATTAAATTGAGACACGTTCACCAAAATACTTTCTAAATTTAATCCGCGATTAACGGAAATTGAACTCACACATGGCGGATTCCAGTATACTACATCCACTTGGCCACATCTACCAAATTTAGTAATGCATGCTTACATTTCTCCCTCATCCTTTAAGCTAGCGATGTGGTATATTTCACCACTCTCTGTCACATGCAAGATGGATTAGAAAATACACGTAAAGTTTGAAGAATGAGGTGGACACGCACACACAAAATAAACTAGGCTAGAATCTAGCTCCGATACCATATTTGGAAGTCCCACAAAAAAGCCTAAGCTTATACGTGAAAAGATGACACATGTATATAAATAGCATATAAATCTCATCGTCAAGCAATGTCAACAGGTATTTTACATATATACTTTGCCGTTTTTATTTTAAAGAAAATTATGCAAGAGTTCATCCAAAATATAGACCATAAGGAGTTTTAACGAAAATCATTCCAGTATCAATAATTCACTATCCATAACGGGGCAAAATCCCGATTTAGTATTAGTGAACGGCCGAAGCCCCAGTTTAGTATCAACAATAGGCCGAAACCCCCATGTTTGTTGAAACATATAATACTTTCGGAAAAATAATTCAGTCGTCATTTGGAGGCTAATTGCGTGAAATAGATAAACAAGTCACGCAGAATCAATACTAGTACATCGGGCTATGAATAAACATTTCTGCGCCCAACTTGGGCATTTTCTTTATTGACTCGTCAAACACCAATCTGGTAAAAATTTGTTCAAATTCGGATGAGATTTGAGCTACAAAGCATAATTCAATTTCTCTCACCAGAAGTCTACAACTCCTTTTTTTTTTGGTGTGTGTGTGTATAAAATGTAAGTATTAGTGGACCTGAGCAGGTCCTTAAAAGGCTCAAGGGGAGACAGGGGAAGGAATTCCCTAGTACAATGGAAGGATTTTCCTATAAGTTCTCTTCGTATTCTTTCTCTCCTAGGAAGAAAAACAATGGGAGGGAACTTAGGGGAATGTAGGTGGTGAAAGTAGACACCATGTCAGCTTCAGCTGGTTACCGTCGGTTAGGCAGGTATAATAGCCTCCCGCGCTTGGGGTGATACAGAGGAGTTTTGGCTCCTGCTTGGTTGGTTGTGCTTCACACAGGTTTGTAACCACCTTGCCAATCAAGTACCCCTGGTTACAAACCTGTGCATATCAAAAGTACAAAAGCTTAGGGGTATCCCCTAGCATTACAAATATAACTAATAATGCGAGAAGATGGAGATAGGAAGTCTTCACATAGTTAGCCAATACAACAATAGGTTGGCAAGTTCTAATATTTTTGTAGAGTGAAGCTCTATCTCTAACGATTTTACGCATCTTAGACAAAATAATGTGGATATCATTTGACTTGTTTTGAAAACGTCTATGGCTACGCTCCATCCAAATGCAATATATTGTTGCTAAGAATGATACCTTGAGGAGCTTTGCCACCATGTCTTTGCCCACCCTCGGTAGCACTGATTATCCATTGAAGTTCATCACTCCATCCTTCTACAGGATGCCGAATCCCATGTTGTGCCAATATACTATGCCATATACTTTCAGTCCAGTTTTATTAGGAAAATAAATGCGTTCTATCTTCTAAATGGGTCACGATGGGTGCCTTCAAAGATATTGGGGCTAATGGATGGTTCGCAACTAAAAAGAGAGACAAATGGGGCGGGGGTGCTTCATGGCGATGTGTATTGGTTGGAGGCGAAAAATTTCGGTGAGGGTTCGCTAATTGGCTTCTTTCAAGAAGCAAGTCTCGTGGCTTCCGGCCCATCTCTCTCTCTCTCTTTTCCTTTCCTTTATTGTTTTTACTCAATACATGTCTAGAATATGGCATATTTGAATCCCTTCCTTTATTTAATGTTTATTTAACTTCACATAGATAGAAGCTATTCTCCTCATGTTCCTTCAATCATTGAATCATATTTTATGTCACCCTTATCCCATGATTTTCGCGTTCACATTCAAGTAAAATCGATAAGTTACTCTCTCGCGATGCTCTTAAACATTCTAGTCCAAGTTAATTTTCCACATCTTCTATCATGTGAATTTCTTTCGTTAATAGAAATTAAATCTAGCGCGTTGGTGACATGTTACTATGTATGAATTTAACGATGTTATAGCGAGTTTTCAACGAATTTAATACATATATTAAATTGAATTTAAGCCATCAAATCTCGTGAGAAACACCCGGAACCCATATGGGTTCTACCATCTCCAATTATCCGAATTAAGTTTAGTATATATACCACACTAAATTTAGCCACACTGGCGATTTGTTTTTTAAGGTGGCCCCTCTAGGAAAATTGTTCCCTTTTCGGTGTCAGAAGCCCATATGTTTCTCCCAATTGTTTTGTCAACTTCTTTTTTTCAAATTTTTGAAGCCCCCTACCTTACCCGTTAGCGTTCACTCCCGGGTGTTAGCCAACCCGCTCGATCTCTCCCCCCAGCGTTGTCCTGACCGTTGAGGTGGAGGATACGCGGCCGTGACAGCCCGAGCTCAGATGGAGGTTCGGATCAAGCGCAGGCCTTGGATCTCGGGTTCGGCAACGCTGGGCCGGAGCCTATATGTCGAAACTAAGGTAGGCTTGAACTCATATATGAGATCTGAGGCTCGAGCGCATTGGCCAATCTCGGGTTCGACGACCATGTGGACAAGTTGGGGCCATGCGAGTGGAAACCAGCGGCAAAGGAGTCAGCCGAGATTAAGAGGGGTTGGTGGAGAAAATCTGTGGCGAGTGGTGGTGGAAAGCGGATCTCACGACCGTGGTCAAGGGCGGAGGCAACGGCAGGCGGCTCTTGTGGCAGTGGTCCTCCTGCCGTTGCAAGTGGCGCATCCAAGGTTCATGATCTAGTTTCTTCTCATGTGCTCGCACCCACGATTCTAGTTTCCACCAATTAAATATGATATCTCTCTCAAAATAATTCAGTCAACCTAATTAATGCGCTAAACTGTAATTGGACAAGCATACCATATGATGGAATCCACTTGAGAGTTATATCGGACTCACTGTTTTCAATGGTTCAGATTTAGTTTAGTGTGTATATCATACTCATTGCAACTTAGTCTTGATCAAATATGACTACTAACCATTACTATTTTTATCGTACCTTCAGTTAAAAGATTCCAAATTGCTCAAATTCTGACAGGATTACAAGGTGGACTTGTAACGCTTTCCACACAGGCAACAACGAGATTGAAGCACGAAATAACTATAGTTGGTTCATGGCTATAGTACATGAAGATATACCACTGCCATAACTAAGCGAAACATAACTTAAAACTAGATGACTTGTACATCTTCTCCCATCTATTCACTGGACCTGTTTGGGAACCCATTCGATACCCAATAAAGCTCTTCCTAGGAAAACGCTCAAGGCCGAATTGGCCGGACAGGCTCTTGGTCACAAACACCCGTGGCTTCGGTCCCAGTTGCTCCGGCAAAGGCCTCAGGGGCTTCAATTTGGGGACTTGCGGCGGGACCACGAGCGCTTTCTGGATGTCGTGGAGCATGTCAGTGTCCGAGTCGTAGCGGTTGGAGGAGTTGTAGAACATGTGGAACACTTTCAAGCACCAGAGGTGAAGCTGCCTGCTGGGTTTGGGCAATTCGCAGAGCTCGTCGAGAACGTGTTGGAGGAACTCTTTCTTCAGTTGGTCTAGCAGCAATTGCACGAATTTGATGCGGTCCTCAATGCTGGCGTCGGGGTTTTCCTTTAGGTAGAGCAGCACAAAGTTCAATTTCCCTTGCTTTTCTTCTTTCTGTGATGAGAGAGAAAGAGACAAGCAGGTGGAGCTTGTGAGGACAGAATCATAATAACAGGGAAAAGAAATAACAGAAGAGTGTACCAATGAACAAGCGCTACTTAGAAAGCAGCGGCTAATTATAGCTGCTTGGCCAGCGGCCAAACTTAGCTCTATTGTATTGAACAGTTCAAATAGCCTCAAGACGCATGCTATCCAACATTACAGACTTTACCAGGTAGCCTGGGACGTCATTTAACAGCCGAGCGATGACCATGAGCAATTTGGTGATGGGCTGGTAGGGGTTGGACCACAGCTGCTGCAATGGTCTCGTGGGGCTCGCGAGGCACGTAGAGGGAAGGACTAAGGTGTGCGCTGCGACGGACGTCATGCCCACGTCGAGGTACTCATGGATCGAAGGGGCACCACCACTTCGGCTCCACTTCGCTTCCGTGAGCCATGAATGAAATGTCTCACCCCACTTTCGAACCAAATACACGGTGTTTTAGGCCATTTGAAAGAAAAATATTGCTCGATGTAGCAAAGTAAAGAAAGAGAAGTGTAATGCGGGAACATGAGACGTACTATATGTTGAAGGTTTTTCTTGATGTCCTTCCCCGATTGTTTGAAGCTTTTCACTCTAAAGTCGGCGACGAGATCGTTGAGGGCTTCGAATATGGTCTTGGCGTGCCCACTTAGTCCTTCACCGTCCCACCTAGTATAATGTTCGTCAACCATAGAAAGAGGCGATTCTAAGGTTCAACTAATCGAATGGACTGGGACGCCAGGAGATGAGTATAGAAACCATACACGCACTAATTTTGTAACTAGGTATAGAGTCGCCTCGTGCATATGGTTTAGTGAATGCACCTCTTGATATAAATTGTAGAAATAGTAAGTTAGAGCTAGACAAATACTAAGCCTTTTGTATAGGTTCACATCCTGTTGGACGCACTACTTTCCATCTATTTCTTATCTCAAGAAGGATATTGATATTTTGAATGATTTAAATAAGAAATGCTCATAATACATCGTTTAGTTGATAATCGTACCTTTGAACCGCATCAGTAAGCTTTTCTAGATCCTCTAATGAACCTTCCATGTCGAAAAAGTCATCGGCGACAGTTACTATGATTGCGCTCTTGGCGACCAGTACTCGCACGTCGGAGTTGCAAGGCAGATAAACGGAAGAGGCGACAGCAAAATAAGAGTACGTTGTCTTCTCACGACCAAACCCCATTTTACTAAGTCCGGTTGTTTCGGACCACCTGAACTCATCCATTATTGAAGAGTCGTTAGAAATAATTATTGCTAATTAACAACCCTTAACTAAACCATATGCATATATACCCTTTGACTACGTCAAGCTCCATCCTGTAAACAGATTGTCTCAGTACAAAGTTCTGCACAGCAAGTTGCATTATATCTTGATTATGAACCAGTGATGACCTAATGAAATCAAAGAAAAGTAAAATGTCAATTGCATGTTATAGCATAGTAATAAAGCAACATTATAATTTCCTCTTTAAGACATCAATACCTATGGCAAGAAAATTTTCCCATCCATAATACACAAGCATCTTTTTCCTCCAACCACAACCTATGTTCCAGGTGGTCTAGGCGAGCCATCCATGGAAGACCCAGTTCGTGCTCAATCTACACGGACATGTCAAGTGTTAACTGATATCATCACTTATTATATAGAACAAAAAGAAGTAGCCAATATTTACACTAACCATTTTGCGATGACTCGACGAGATGATGCTTTCGTCTCTCGTTCCTCCGGATACGATTTTCTCGAGAAAATTCTTCGAGAAAGTTCTTGCTTTCTCAAGTTGATGTTCATCCGGAAGCATAAGATTGCTGGCTCTATAAACGTTAAGGAGCACACTTGAGAAGTATTCAGAATGTTTTTCGATGTGATCTCGAACTTCTTCACGCTCTAGAAACCAACAAAAGCTTGCTGCAAAATGCAGAAAACAATTGCAATTAATCGAACCACTTCAAAATATTACCCATGAAAGACCCCAAGGTAAAGGAACTGATTGAGGAACTGGTAACACTTGCAACTCGTACATGGTGATACACTATAACCATGCATGCGCAAAAGCCAGAATTCCAAGCTATCTTTGTATAGCTCGGCAGCGATTGAATGAATTGATTTCGTGATTGGTTTTTCATGCTTGTAGTTCCTGAAAAGAGATATGTTAGTTTGCTTGAATTAGCTAGAGATGTCATATGGACAATTTCCGTGACCTCGAAAGCAATCGTAGGCGACAGCATTGTAGCAGTGGATTTTCTAGAAAACAGCAGACTTGGAAACTTATACTAACCGATAGATTTGTGCCAAAATTTCATCCTTCTCCCGGTCAAAGAACTCAGTCAACCCTAATTTTACGAGTTGATAAGCCATGGAAAGTTTTGTAAGATCTTCATCCACGAGATATACAGATGGAACTGCTATAATCATCAAGAAAAGCCGAAAGATATTCAAGGGTTAAGAACGGTATAAAAGAAAAATATATAAATAGTAAATAAATATTCAAACTTTATGCTGGTGGTATATGCTATATTTTATTCTCTTTTCCGAAAATGATGATATATAATTTTCATGAAATGAAATTAGTCAGGGAAATAAGAACGACATGTTCCAAAAGCATCTAAAAATCTCTTGAACATGGCATTTACTTACCACCATTAGAAGCACAATTCGAAGCAAGAGATTGAAGATAAGCCAAGCATTCTTTGTTCCCGGTGGCTAGGTATGCGCTTGATGTTGCAGAGGGTGACTGAAACAAAGAGCCGTCGCCGTTCAGATGCTTCAATATGGTTTCATGGCTGATTTTGTAAGTTCGAGGCAGGACCTCAAGATACGACAACAATGGGTAATATTGGTTCTTGTCGACAAGTTCTTCCCTGCAAAAGGCCAAAACCCTAAAAGTTATGATTGTGTCTGAGGAGGAAAAAACAAAGTGGTTGTGGCTGGCTTTAGGGCCCCAGCTTTTTGGCGCTTTTAGATCTGAGGCTTTGAAAACCCATTTGTCTAATCTTCTAGACTTAGATTGCGAATGATAATCATTCCGTTTTTATTTTTCCGTTTTAGAAATAAGTTCGGAACAAAAATCCGTTTGATAACGCAATTTCATTTTTCAATTTCTGGAACAAATTTTGATTTCAGAAATAGGTTTCGAACAGAAATGAAAAGTAAAAATTTTCTACTTTTCTATTTTTGAACAAAAATAAGAAATTCTTCTCATCGCTCGCCCTCGCTACTAGCCGGTCGCCCATCCACCGCCCACATGCCGGCCGCCGCCTCCCGCCATTTACTATCTCCCGCTGCCGGCCGCTGTGGGCTGCTGTCCGCCGGCCGCCGTCTCCCACCGCCGGCCGCCCTCCTCCCTCCGCCGCCCGCCTCTTGCCACTGCCCTCCTCCTCCAGCTGCTGCCCGCCATCCGCAGGCCATCATCTCCTGCCGCTCTCCTCCCGCCGTCGCCCCCCTCCCGCCGCCGGTCGTCGCCTACCTCCTGCCGCTGCCCAACATCGACCGCCTCCAGTTGCTGTCCTTCACACTGGCCGCCGCCCCCCTCCCGCCACGAGCCGTCGCCCACCTATGGCAACTGCTCGACGCCGGCCACCTCCAGCCACCGTCCTCCACACTGGTCGCGTCGCTGTCCGCCGCCACCACCCTCCCACCACCGATTGTCGCCCGCCTCCCTCCACTGCTCTACGCCGGCCGCCTCTAGCTGCCATCCTCCACATTAGCCGCATCGCGGTAGGTCGCCTCCTCCCCCCGCCATCCGCCGCCTGCCGTTCGCTGCCACCGTTCGCCACCTGCCGTCCGCCACCGCCATCCACTCACCATCCACTCGCCAATCACCCGAGAGGGAGAAATTTTGTGCCTTTATCAAATAAATTTTTGTTTCGGGAATAAAAATTTTGTGTCGTTATCAAACGTGTTTTTTTGCTCAGAAACTCGTCAAGGAACAGAAATAGAAAAATTTTCTGGCCAGAAATTGATTTTTGAAACAGAATGGTTGTCATTCGCAGCCTTACTATCATTGAGCCAAAATTCTGGTTGGTCTCACTCCATGACAATTAATTGTTGTTAAGTTGGTCAACTGATGAAGACATCTTCTTCTTTATATTGTAAGTTCCTTTAACAAAATAAGAAAAGAAACCTAAAGGGTAATTAACAAGTCAAAGCAAAAAGTTGAAAGACAAAACTAGCACAAACACACCGACGAGTTCATCGATGTCGGGTAATTGGGTCACGCTTCTTCCATGCGACTCAGTTTTCAAGTGAAAAAGGTGAGACTCATTAACAAGGACGAACGCAATCGCTTGTCGATTTGGTCGAGGGAATGAGATTGAACTAGATTGAAATGGTTGGGGCTATATGAGTACGAAATGCAAAAGTAGGTCCACTAGAAAAAGAAAAACATACGATTATTTTCAACCGATAAAGAAGGAGAGTATTAGAATTACCTTTTGAGAATTCGTTGGCGATTGCTGAATAAATCTGCAATGGCACGTTCTGTGCTTTCGGGGAATATAATCTCCAAACCAACAGCATGTGCCAAATCAACCAATCCGGGCAAGATGATAGCGATCCAACGAGGAAACTTTCCATGCTTGTTTCTTGAAAGAAGCAATTCCGCATTTTCATGAATGAACTTTAATCCTGAAAAGTGAAAAAACCAGAAAATGGAGAAGTATTAGAGAAGAGTTTGTGAAGAACTATATCACTATTGGATTTCATTGAGAAAACGAATACAATAGTTACTTGCATCATCTTTTATATGCTTTCTTAATATGAGAGGTCTCATGTCTGTGTTAGCTTAGATTTGACTTTCGTCGATGATCGGTCAACTTTATTTTAACTAGAAATCACATTATATGTGATGGGTCAGGCCATGGGTTAAAAAGTGAACAAAGTTGTTGGTCGAAGATTGAAAGTTAAGTATAGAGTTCAGTTAGTGATCACAAAAGTAATCTAATCGAACAAAATTATGTTTGCAATGGGCATAGTTCGATGTAAATAAAGAAAAATCATGTTTGTCATGGCCAAATTTCAGTGTTTATTTGAAAGTGAAGTAATGGTACCTTTCTCTATCAAAGGTGAACCAACATGCCACTTTTTTAGCACGGTCATGCAGACAATGGCTGAAGCAAGACACTCCAAACCGTCGGACGTTTCATGTTCGTCGTAATCATAATCTCCCCAAAATCCTTCTTCTTTCTGATTGTGGAGCACCCAATTCAAACACTCCTCGAACATGGGACAATCATGTTGGCGAGGATCGGGAATCATCGCCAACCATGCGGTGTCATATGGTGAAGGAGAGAGGAATGAGTGCGAGCCCAAGTTGGGGAGTATCTCTCTTTTGATCGCATTGACGAGAGATTGAATAGATTGGGACTCCATGAAGATTTGGGTGAGAAGAATTTGGTACGCTTCTTTAAGTGAGGGATTACATAAACCAATTAGGTCTATTTATACATGACTTTGAGCCGGTTCCTTCTAGGAGCTGTCATGTCAAAACGTGAATCGTGAGGGGAGAACTAAGATTTGTTGGATTGCATCTCTGACGTTGGTCTGACTAGTATTCGTGGCACCAGACAAAAAGAAACTTCTCTTGTCCCGAGGTGGAAAAGAACTTTTTTGGCCAAAAGAGGTGGAAAAGGACTTTTTTTACTTTGAGATGGCACTTGAATAACGTGTCAACACCGAATAAAGTGAGATGAGATCAAGGTGATTAGGTTCAAGAGAGGAAGCGACTAGTGTCGTGAGCGAGTGAGGCTGCGAAAGGAGCAACGAGTGTTGTGACTCGTCAACGCGCAAGGGAAGCGATTTGCATCTTGAGCGACGAGCGATGCTGCAACCTGCGAGCACCGAGAGCAAGCTGTGAGAGAGACTAAGAGAGCGAGACTGCAAGAGAAAGTGAGAGAGCAAGCTGCGAGAGAGATGAAATGAATTAGGATTTTTTTAGAGAGAACGTGAGAACTGAGGAACGTGAGAGCTGGAATTAGTGTTTTGACAACATAAAAGTTAAATCAGTCTAGGTAAGTGGTTCCACACCTGAAACTGATAACTTAACCGATGCTCACAGGTTCTTGTGGATACCACCCAAAAATCGGCCGGTTCGATCCAATTCAGGCGATTCCTTGCCCATTTCCCGATCTTTTGCTTACCCCTAAGTGATAGTGGGATTATGTGCGATCTAGGAATCAATGAGATGGAATTGAGATGACAGAGTTTGCTCGGGAAGCTCAATTGAAGTGTCGAAGCTCAACAGAAGTGTAATGGCAGAAGGGTAACGGTTTCATTACGAGGAACGTTATCAAAAGAGAATCCAAGATGAACCAATTAAGGGAGACCTATTTTGGCATAAAAGAAATATATGGACACGCTTGCGTTCAAAAGCTTAAATTATTGAGTTATGAACTTACTGAATATGTTAACCACTTCAAAAACATCTATTTTACGATTTGGGATTTCTTTCATTGGCATGTTCGTGCGAGCACCGTGACAAATCCTTTGTTCATTTTAAATATTTCATGTTAGGCCAACTCTTTCCTCAAATCCGGCCTCAGGTATCCATGTACACCACTCCTTGTCGCCATGCATATAGCCTCCATCGTCGCCATCGGTCACACCTATAGTCACCATCAGACACTGGAGCATAGGGGTATCTATTTTGTTTGCCAAGCCCCTCGTTGATTTAATTGCAAGAACTATTGCATTTTCATAATATAATACAACAATCTTGCGTGTTTTAATTTGCTTGTGCTTCCTGTGGAGATATTCTTTTTCTTTCATGTTACTTCCATGATCATAGGAGCAATGGTCGCCATACTCAAAGTACAAAAGGCATGGTACTACTTATTGGAAAGCACAATATATAACGTATACCTCATTAATTACGGGAAGATCAATAAGGGGAGCCCAAATTCGAATTCCCTGAGGTATCTAGTCGGACATAACTTTCTTAAAAAATGAATTCGTTGAGTTACGAGCATATTAAATACATTAATTGCTCCAATAGGGTCCCAATTATCCAATGTGGAACTTCTTTTAATAACAGCTTCACACGTAAACTTTAGCACGATTGTCCATGTTTCAGCTTAAATACGCTAGCCCTGTATAAATAAATCATGTCAACAGGCAATTGGCAAAATCAGATAATCTTGTTACTTGCCAAAAGCACCATTAACTATTGAGGATTTGGTCTCAATGAATTAGATCGCAGATCTGGATCTTAACTGACTGATGTGTCCTGTTATAAAGGTGTTATCCTATTACAAATAAATAATCTCAGTATATGCTGGGCAAAAAAACAATCATCTTGATATTTGTTAAAAGCACTATTAATTCTTAAAAATTTGATTAAGTGGTCAAAGTGATTCGTTAGGACGAAGTAGATTGCTTATTTGAATCACAACATTTCTAGCTCATAATAATCCGAAGAGCATCCCACCATCTTGTGAGTGGAGCCATATTTGATGGCCAGTGTTCAGAACAAAACCAAAATAAAACCCTTCAAATAATTTTGATCAATCACCTCCTGCAAATCGAGTTGCATGACAGTACATCATAAGCTACTGTATTTGTCTACCGCTACCATGTTAATGGCATATTAGAATATACGGTATCTATCCTACATATCTCCAAGCACAATTCCAGTAGAAAGTTGGTAAAGACCCCACTAGAAAATTCTAAACATATTATACAGATGCCAATTTAGTCCTAAATTTTTCAATTTTGTCAATTTAATCCTATACCTTTGTGCAAAATTGCAATATAATCTTTCTAGTCAATTTTTGCCGGAAATCACTCACGTGGCTGTCTAATCATTGTCGGTCGTCCTATGTGGCACACCGTCGCGTCAGGGATTGCTGGCAAGAATTGACCGGAGGGTTACATTGGAATTTTGCTTAAAGATTTAGCATTAAATTAGCAAAATTGAAAAGTTTAAGACTGAATTAGTATCCTTATAGTATGTTTAGAATTGATTGGATAATTTCTCTGGAACAAGGAGTTGAAGCCGGAGGAGAGCACGCCGCAAGGGGTAGCGGCTAGAAGTGAGAGGGGAGTTGCAGGGATGAGGAGAGAGAGAGTTGGAAATTGATGATCCAGGGCAAGTCATGGTACCTGCAATTTTTGTCTAAGCCATATCTCTTATCTAAGTTTGAACTTGATTTGGAGCTAGATTGTTTCGCTACTTTTTATCATTTTAAACTCGATTTTTTATATTTTAGGTCACGTTCACACGTGTTTTTTGGACACTTGTTAAGTATAGTTTTGAAAACAGTACTTACACATAATATGAGAAAAGTCAATAGACTAAAAAAATTCGTGTCCTTTTAGGGCTTTTCGCGTATATAATTGCGATTGCGATGTACAGCTAAAATAAATGGCAAAGTCAAGCATGAATACATGGATGTCATCAATGACGTGGTGTGGTGTGTTTGTTCATATTTGGCCCATGGGCATCTATTTATCAATTCCTAGTGAATTGGCTTCCTCCAGCAAATTGTAGACGTGGCTTTTTCTTGGTGGTGTTAATGGTCTTTTCGTAGTTTTTTTTCCTTTTTAGACTTTCATAATCTATAGAACCAAGTACAAGAATTGGTGGTGGTTGAGGATTTAGGCAACTCCAATGGATCACAACAACTTTGGCACACCATTCAAATGAATATTCAACATAATGAATGGTTCCATTAGTACTGGTAATGGTGCACGCGACCCGTTTGCGCTTCACTAGATCAAACACAAATTACAGATAGAAAATTTGAATATGAAACTAGATGAAAGGCCTAACTTTATATGGTGATGGAATATTTAACATATTTCTATCATAATTCAATTATTTGGCATGTAGAATCAAAGTCAAGATGTTTTAGGCCAATCCGAATTAATACAAATTATAAATATGATTATGAAACGCCAACACGAATCGCCAGTCCCAGTTCTAATCATGCTGCCACCCGACTAATACGTTAATCAAATAATTATGTTAGAAGTAGTAGCTTAGTATGCATGAATACTCTCATCACCTAATAGTTTAAGTTTAAATATGGTTTGATCGCATACGTTTACGACACATTTCGATATATTCTCATCTTACTGACGAAACAAGTGTTCAAATTGCAGTTTGCATCCAAATTGAAATTCTAACCCAGATAGCAACCACATTTACGTAATTTAAGGTTGAGAAATGCCCGAGCAGGGAGCTCGATTCGGGTCGGATTCCGTATAGTCCTGCGATCCTATGTAGGTCACAATTGAATCGTTGATTTTGTCCGAGCCAGTATGTTGATCTAACTGAATCTGTCACACCCGAGTCATCGTCTGTCGGAGCGACTATGACCAATAACTCATTTGCCGAGTTTTATCGATGTGACAGAATCAGTGACATTGATAGATCTAATTGATTTTCATGGCGTTTGTGTGAGATCCATGTAATTAATGACTTTAATTGATTGATCTAGTTCACTTAAGTCTAAATCATTGCATGTGCGGGTCATCTCGATTTTTTTTTTAATTCGTTTATCAATGTGGCAGAACCAGTGAAGCCGATAGATCTGAATTCATAGACCATATTTCTTCGAAGGCACACTAGGCAAGCAATCACCGGGCGCTAAAAGCTTTTTTTTTGTGCACTTTCACACACCTGAATTTCATTTTAGGATTTCTTTTGCCAGAAAAAGGTATACATTTTAGGTAGATAAATTTCATACTGATGAAAGTAATCCACTAATCTAACCATGCGAGCGGAATGGTTCAAAACAATAGCGTATGGTCCGAAGAAAGTATTATTTAGCGCTTGGTAGCGTAGAACATTGAACATATGACGTGCATTCAATCGAAGCAGACACATGTTCGCCCGTTGCATATCTCAACAAAAATTACACGTAAAAGATTCTGATTCCCGGTCATAAAACACACTATCAACAATGTGGTCATTAGTTTGGGTAAGATGGCTTGTGCTAGAGATAATTATGATATTTTCATTGACTCTTTATATCTCAGGAAAATACTGACCAAAAAAAAATCTTAGGAATGTGCATGTATTTGACCAAAAAAAAAATCTTTGATTGTATATATCCCTAAATGATAATAATTTATGTCTAAATCTTGTTAAGTTATTTAATAAAGCCTATAGATAGGCTCATATACTCTTCATTATAAAACGAGCAGAGAAATATATATAGAAAGTTATAGAAGTTACACAATTCTTTCTTTTGCCTTATTGTTATTTTGGTATCGAAGCTAAGCAACCCTAAGATGCATCGGGTGCACATTGCATCCGAAGCACACCTTGCATCTGATATCATTCTCTTTTTTTCAATAGATAGGTTCATGCACTCTTTTGACTCTTTATAAGTCCAAACCTCGTGTCGACGATGGACTTTTTCACCAAACGCTTTCACCGCACCTGAACAAATCTCGAACACAAGTCTGGTGTCCATCCATGCTATTGAACCTAACATATATACTCTTTTGCTAATATCTTGCGAATATTGATCTGCCTGTGGTTCCTATGGAGCTACACACTTACAAATCTTCTTTTTCTTTAGTGTAGCTTCTAGATCATAGCAGCACTGGCCGCCATGGCTCAAACACAACCACTGGGTGTGACAGCAAGGAGCAGAAGACGGAGGAGAGCACGCCGCAAGGGGCGATGGCTGGAGGTGAGAGGGGAGTTGCAGCGATGAGAGAGAGAGAGAGAGAGAGAGAGAGAGAGAGAGAGAGAGAGAGAGAGAGAGAGTAGTTTCCAGGATTTTGAGTGTAGTCTCTCATAAGAAGGGGGC